GGCATTATCTGCTGTCACAGAGAATTTGCTTTATCCTTAGCCACACAACAAGCTAAGCGCAACTCAGACCTAGAGGAACAGAACAAACAGCTCCGTGCTAGAGTAGCATCTCTGACAAAGAAACTGAACCGCAACAAAGCTTCAGAGAAAGCTGATGTAGAAGAAATCAGTGAGTCTGATAATGTTTATCCAGACTTACAAACTCTCTTTGAAACAGATGTACCTGTAGAGTCAGTGAATGTTTGTGGGGCGAAAAGGAAATCGCAGAGAATTGAGGAAATTGAAAGTGTTTCTCCCAATGCTTCTGTTGTCCAAGTTCAATCAGTTACCAAAGCCTTAGGGCCTAAAGACATTGAAAGACTGTCTCAGGGTTTACCTTCAGCCCGCATAAATTTTTCTGAGTTTAGGAGAGCACTAATCAGCAAAATGCGTCTTTATGACATGTCGTTGACAGAAGTTACACAGCTATTGTCTCAAATTCTAACAGAATCTGAATTCAACAGTTTTGAATCTGCTGTTTCTGATCTGCAACATGCCAGTAAAGATGATTTGAGAGAGGGTGTTCTGAAAACTCTTAAAAATATTATGGGGCCCAAAATAGATTGGTCTAGAGTGACTAGCTGTGCTCAAAAGAAAGATGAGTCTGTGAATGAATTCACTGAGAGGTTTTGTCAAACAGCCATAGCTTACAGTGGAATTGTTGACAACTCTGAAAGTGTTTTACATGAAAAAGGACCACTAGTTCGTATTTGGTCTGATGGCCTTGTAACAGAGTACAGGAAAGCATTACCTTTTCTAGATCTTACATGGTTTGACAATACCATCAGAAGTAATCTAGGCAAGTTAGCTGCATGGGAAAAAGATGCTGATGTCAAAGCAACAGTGAGAATAGCAGCAACTACATTTAGTTCAAAAAACCTAGACAATAGGTGGCCTAAAAGAGAAGGCAAATGCAACTACTGTGGGAAATTAAGACACTGGGAGAAAGAGTGTAGGAAAAAGATGCAGGATAGTAAAAGACATGCTATGCATAATTCTGCTCCCTCTCAGCCTGCCTACAACCCTGAAGTAGTTCAGCCATTGTCTACAGCAGCTTTAGGACAGCTTGCTCAGGCTCTTCTAAAAGCACAACAAGAACAGGAAAAAAACTAATTGTTGGGGCTGTGAGTAGCTACCTTTCCCCTGTAATCCATCACAATGACAAAAGACTGTTTGTGAAAGGTAGCATACAAGATAAAGAGATTGATTTTTTGCTTGATACAGGTGCAGAAATTACAGTAATTCCTATGCAATTGGCTAAAGATTTTAACATTCCGTACAACAAAACTAAACTTTCCTTAACAGGTGTAATAGGTGAAGATTCAATTTTGTTTGAAACCCCGCCCATAGAGGTTCAATTTGGCCCAAAAACTCTGACAACAAAATTGCTATGTGCTCCATTAAATACAGGTGCAATTCTAGGCATGGATATACTAAGACAATTACATCTAACTTTAGACATGTCTTCAGAATCAGCTAGCATAAAAATTGCTTCAGTACAAGTTTCTACTGATAATGCAATCGCTCCCGAGTATGCTTTCCTACAGAATCATCCAATCTGGGCAAAAGAAAAGGATGAGTGTGGACTTTTGACAGGTGTAGAACCAGTCAAATTGACAGGAACTCCACCTCCAGTTACCAAACAATATCCTATAAGTAAGGAAGCAATACAGGGAGTGAAACCTATTATAGAAAAATTACTGAAGCAAGGATTGATAGTTAAAACCAACAGTGCCTGTAACTCACCCGTTTGGCCTATAAAGAAAGCTAATGGAACATGGAGACTCACCATAGACTACAGAGTAGCCAATAAACATATTGATAAAATCACCCCATTAGTAGCAGATCCGTCTACAATTTGTAATGGTCTACCATTAGATTGTAAAATTTTTACAATAATTGATATGTCTAATGGATTCTTTTCTGTACCCTTGCACTCTGACAGCCAAGCATGGTTAGCTTTCACAGTTGACTATGAACAATACCAGTGGACACGGTTACCACAGGGATTTCAAAATTCCCCAACCATTTATCATCAAGCTGTCAGACGTGATTTGTGTGACCCAGAATGTCCAGTCAAAAAGTCTACCATGATTCAGTATGTCGATGATATTTTGATTGCCTCGACAGATCACGAGGTACATAAAACTGAATTGGCATCATTGTTAGACTATTTGCACAAAAAAGGACATAAATGCAGCTTTCACAAAGCTCAAATTGCTAAAAACCAAGTTACCTTTCTGGGTCAAACAATTGGTACAGGAAATAGATCCATTACACAGGATCAAGCAGCTTCAGTCAAAATAATACCTCCACCTACCACCATTAAAGCACTCAGATCATTCTTAGGAACAGCAGGTTACTGTCGACCTTGGATTGAAAATTATGCCTCAATGGCCCAGCCACTTTATGACATCTTGAAAGGTCAGGTTAAGGATTCTGATACTGTTTGTATGGAAGAAACTCAGCTTAACGCTTTCAATAATTTGAAGACCGCACTATGTCAAGCACCAGCATTAGGAATTGCGCAATCAGATAGGCCTTTTGTGCTTTATGTTCATGAACACTCAGGCTTTATGACAGCATGTTTAATGCAAGATCATGGGGGCAGTTTACGCCCAATCCATTACTATTCTGGTAAACTTGACATAGTCGCTCAAGGTATGGGTCCATGTCTTAGAGCAGTACAGGCAGTTCATCTAGCTCTTCAGGCTTCAGCAGTAATGGTGCTAGGTCAGACTGTAAATGTAAGATGCCCTCACGCAGTGTCTGCACTAATGAATCAAGCAAAAGTCACTTCTGTCACCTCCTCTCGTTGGGGAAATTGGTTAACGACCCTCACAGCCCCGAATGTTGTTTTGCAGCGTGCACCAATCACAAACCCATCCTCATGTATGATGTCTGCATTGACTGAAGTTGTGTTAGAGGATGAGGGAGAAATGACTCATGATTGTGTAACGCTTACTTATACACCTACAAGTGAAGTAGCAGAAACGCCCATAGAAAATGCAGAATGGGAATTGTTCGTTGATGGTTCAGCACAAATCATTGAAGGTAACTGAAGAGCAGGTTATGCGGTAACTTCCACCACTGAAGTAATAGCTACAGGCCGTCTTCCAGATCACTTTTCAGCTCAAGCTGCAGAACTAGTAGCTTTAACTAGAGCATGCACGCTAGCATCAGGATCAGTTACAAATATCTACACTGATTCCAGATATGCTTTTGGGGTAATTCATGATTTTGGTGTCATTTGGCAAAGCAGACAGTTTTTAACTTCTGCCGGATCCCCCATTAAGCATGCTGGATTAGTAAAAGACCTGATGTTTGCTATGAAACTTCCAAAGAAATTGGCGGTGATTAAAGTGAAAGCACATCTCACAGCCAATACAATGGAAGCTAAAGGTAATGCTCTTGCTGATGTAGCTGCTAAACAGGCTTGTCATTATGCTAATGTACAAGTATGTTCAGGTAGTACAGCACAGAAAGCAATTCTACCTCCTGAATCAATCATTGATCTGTACAAAGATGTTCCTTTATATGAAGCATGGACTTGGTTAGACAAAGGAGCCACAGTGGATTCATCTGGCTGCTGGACTAAAGAGGGAAAATATGTCGCTCCCGAATCACTGTTGCCATACTTGGCTCAACAAATACACAATTTGGGTCACAGTGGTCCAGCAACCATGAATCACAGGTTCTCAAATCAATGGTGGAATCCAAAATTCAGAAACATAGCCACTGAGACAGTGAAAAGATGTGTTACATGTCAGAAAAACAATGACATACCAGCAGCAACTACAGCAGCAACACATACCCCAGCTCCACCGGGGCCATTTCGTCATCTGCAGGTCGATTACATATCATTACCTCCCTGTAAAGGAAAAACTGATGTTTTGATAGTAATTGATAAGTTCTCGAGATGGGTTGAAGCTTATCCAACAGGACGTGCTACAGCTACACATACTGCTAAATGTCTAATCACTGATTTCATTCCCAGATGGGGGTTACCAGATTCCATTGACTCAGATCAGGGTACACACTTCACAGGACAGGTAGTCAAGGAAGTTTCTAAAATGCTGAAGATTAAGTGGAATCTTCACTGCCCCTACAGGCCACAAGCATCAGGACAGGTTGAACGAGCTAATAGGACAATTAAAACCAGGCTAAGCAAAATGCATCAGGAAGGAGTTTCATGGGTTGAAGCACTTCCAGCGGTACTATGTAGTATGAGAGCATCACCTAACAGATCAGTAGGACTGAGCCCTCATGAGATTATTACTGGACGCCCAATGCAGATGCCAGGTGTAATTGATCTTAGAAATGCTGATGTGCACATCGTCTCAGATGCCCTGATAGCTTACTGTGAAAACCTTACCAAGTCTGTACAGAATGCCAGAGAGAGAGTTGAGTCGTGTTGGCAGAATCCACCGGAAGGTGGACACACAATCATCCCAGGTCAGTGGGTCATGATAAAATCATTCAGAAACAAGCCATTAGAGCCTAAGTGGCTTGGACCACATCAAGTGATGTTGATTACAGCAGCTGCAGTGTTGTGTCAGGGAAGAAAAACTTGGACACATGTCTCACATTGCAAAGTTGTTCCACCACCTACAGGGATAGGATAGGACACACAGAACAGTGGGGTACCCAGGGAAGAACTGATCCTTTAGGGATTGGGGGCCACCCCTGGGCGAAGACATCCCAATAGAATATCCCCCCATTTATTAGTCCATCCTAACCTTACTGTTCTTTAGGTGTCATGGGAATTAAGAAATAGGGAAAGAAGGAACAACTATAGCAGAATTAGAATGAACAGAGGATACAAAACTAGTGTTTTATTTTTTACTTTTTTTATTTTTACTTTTTTTACCTTTTTTTCTTTTATTTATTTATTTTTATTTTTTCCTTTTTTTGCAACAAATACTGTTTCGTTGCTTTTGTTTCCTTCTTATTCTGTGCAGATACAACTTGTTGTCCTGAGACCCATAGACACCAACCTTCTCACCTACAAGTCCAGTCACAACCTTCAAGAGGCCACTGCTAAACCAACCATCACAGAAGAAAACACAACGCAGAGAACCACACACAGGAACTTCAGTCATCCATCAATATGATCAAGATTGCCGTACTAGGGATCATCATGAACATCGCACAAGCCATCGACTCACGAAGCAACATATTCTTAGAGCTGATGAATATGTCAAGAAATGCCTTGTTTGCTGGAAAGAACATCTGCATGCCACACCCACCTTCAGTAGGAGCAGGAATCCCCTGGGTGGCACAACCCGTGTCCAACTGTGACACGTGTACGTTCTACCAGCTATCAGAGAAAATACACACGCCACACCAAGCTCTCTACATCTGCATAACTCCGCTCCCACCACAAAGGAAGAAGATGGCTGCATTCCAGGACTCACTTGTGCACAAACATGGTGGTCAAGAACTCTTGGAGCAATAATTCCTTCTTATGGTGTGATGCAAGCCCTTGATCAAGTCAGAAGCTTATCAAATTCTGTTCAGAAACTGGCCAATGATACAGCTTTTGCCCTGGGTAATATCACAAACACTCTTGCTTCACACAAGATAATGATCTTACAGAACAGAGTGGCGTTGGATTACATTCTAGCAAAGCAAGGGGGAGCTTGCACCATCATAGGCCCAGAGTGTTGCACCGGATTAATGGATCCAACCAAGAACTTGAACAAAATTCAACAAGACATACTTGATCTTTCAGTAAAATTGCACCTGATGACTGAAGACAATTCTTCATGGTTTGGAAACCTGTTAGGAAAACCCTGGCTGTGGATCAAGGAAATAGCTATTCTTCTATTGCTTTTCCTACTGTTGTACTATCTATGCATCCACAGTATCAAATGTTTTACTCAACATTTGACCCACGCCCATGACGAAGAAATGACAGTTCCAACCAGAACAGAATATTATCTATAAGAAATCCATGGATTTTAGCGGCATGTTTGTTCCTGTGTCAACATGTCATTTGTAAATATAGACAGTAAAAACTGAGCAAGTAGTATGCGCCTGTAACCATAATACGTTACAAGAATGAACTTTTTTTTAGTGTATAAATTTATTTATTGTGAGAGTTTTTTTTTTTTATAACTCTCAAAGGGGGAACTGTGGAAATATAAATTTCTAGCATCTAATTCCAAATGAACAATACTCTACGTATAACTGAAAAGTTATTTTCTTTGGTTTTCTTTAATTAAATCATTGCATTGACGTGCCATATAGGAGGGACATTTAACCTTGCCTTGCTGACTACAGACTTCATTTGTATGTTAAAGTGATGTAATTAATGGTTTCACAGCATGGCTGTATCTATTGTATTCCCTGTCTCCAGAACATCATTTGCACATTGTTGTAATGATGTACTTATCTATTGATGAGATCAGCATAGCACCCAGACTTCATTTGCAACCATGGCACCCAGACTTCATTTGCATGCTTTGTTTTACTGCCCCCCATGACTGACCCCACCTACATGCTGTAAGATGTATAAAATGTATTGCTTTGCTGTGGAGTTGAGAGTTTGCTTTCGATGACGCCACAGCCACGCTGAGTTTCCTCTTATTAAAAAGGATTCTGCTTTGAAGACAACCGAAAGATTCTCCCTGGTTTTTTGTGGGCTCTTAGAAGTTTACAACAATACTCTTCCCAAACAGAGTGCATGTGAATGGTTTATCTACAGTGTGGGTCATCATGTGTTTATTAAGGTCTGAGGAGTTGCTGAAACTCATCCCACACCGAAGCTGTGGGTTTCTCTCCGTTGTGGCTTATCGTGTGTAGATAAAGGAGTGATGGTTGTCTGAAACTCTTCCCACACTGAGTGCATGTGAATGGTTTCTCTCCAGTGTGGATCCTCATGTGTTGATTAAGGTGTGATGAGCGGCCGAAACTCTTCCCACACTGAGTGCATGTGAATAGTTTCTCTCCAGTGTGGATCCTCATGTGTTGATTAAGGTATGATGAGCGGCCGAAAATCTTCCCACACTGAGTGCATGTGAATGGTTTTTCTCCAGTGTGGATCCTCATGTGTTGATTAAGGTATGACGAGCGGCCGAAACTCTTTCCACACTGAGTGCATGTGAATGGTTTCTCTCCAGTGTGGATCCTTATGTGTTTATTAAGGGATGATGAGCAGCTGAAACTCTTCCCACACTGAGTGCATGTGAATGGTTTCTCTTCAGTGTGGATCCTCATGTGTTGATTAAGTTCTGATGAGCGGCTGAAACTCTTCCAACACTGAGTGCATGTGAATGGTTTCTCTCCGGTGTGGATCTTCATGTGTTCATTAAGGTATGATGATTGCCTGAAACTCTTCCCACACTGATTGCATGTGAATGGTTTCTCTCCAGTGTGAATCATCATGTGTTGATTAAGCAATGATAACCGGATGAAACTCTTCCCACACTGAGTGCATGTAAATGGTTTCTCTCCAGTGTGGATCATCATGTGGTCATTAAGGTGTGATGATTGGCTGAAACTCTTCCCACACTGAGTGCATGTGAATGGTTTCTTTCCGGTGTGGATTATCATGTGAATCTTAAGATTGCCATTTCCTCCAAAACTCTTCCCACACTGAGTACAGGTGAAACGATTCTTGCCTCTCCTTTTCAAAATACCATCAGTCTGTAAATGAGTTTTGTCCTCAATTTTAACATGGTGTTCCTCCTCTTTACTCCCCTCACTCTCTTCAATTAGGTCTGAAAAAAAAAAGTTTTCATTAAGTCTAAAAAACTCTCATCAAAAGCTGAAAAGTGAAAAGACACTGGAAACATTGGCTACACACATTGTATTTCTGATGCACATTAAATGTGAAATAAATCAGATCATATTGTGTTTGGTCCATTAACGTATGCACATTTAAGCAGATTCTATTCAATTCATCTTTATTTATCTAGTGCTTGTACAATGTAAACTGTCAAAGCCGCTTAACATAGAACTTATAATAAATTGAAACGGTGTCAGTCCAGTTTTTAGAGTTTCTTACATAATACATCATAAAATAAATTTTGGTCACATTGATAAGACACAGATTCGAAAGGTGTAAATGGTGTGACGACCTCAGTATTCTAGTTTGGATGTGGCAGATCCGGATTAGGTGCCATGGTTGCTCCCCAATTGGTTCAAAGCATATAAATGCGAGAGTGAGCTAGCTTCTGTAGGATAGTGTGGCTACTGGCCGTCCTCGCATCAAGACCATCTCTTTATTTTGGCAACCTTATGGTTTTGTTTGGCATTATTTATGTGTAGTTAAAGTTAGTTATTTTCTTCATTTTCCCCTAGACATTTGTTTGTTTCTTGATTTGTTGCTTTATTAGTTGTATATAATAAATAAGTTGCATATATAATTTTTTTGTTGTCTGAGCTCTTTTATGTTGCAACTTGAACGAGGGGGTCGTAACAATGGCCTATTTTTATTTGTATATATTCATAATTACAACAAAATGTTTCTCTAAAATTTGTTTAGCAGACAGGAAATACTATGGATAGAATACTATGGATAAGACACTGTGGATAGAATGAAAGAACTGACAGGGGAAAGCAAAGAAGGAGGTGTTTTTTTATTTATTAACAACTTATGGTTGAGAAACATACATCCAGTTAGATTATTTTGTTCTCCTGATCTGGAATACCTTATGCTTTGGTGCCGACCACACTGGCCACCAAGAGAGTTCACAGCTGTTATAAATACAGCTGTCTACATCCACCCTCAAGCCAACACAGAGCAGGCGCTTGGGAAACTGAATAGGAGCATAAGCGAGCAGGAAACCACACACCCAGAGGCAGCATTTATTGTTACAGGGGACTTTAACAATGCCAATCTCTGGACAATCGCTCCAAAATACTATCACCATATCACCACAAACATGCGTGGTGACCGTATTTTGGACCACTGCTATTCTCTGTTCCGGGACGCCAACAAATCCCTCCCCCGCCCACCGTTTGGCAAATCAGATGACTCTTCTGTTCTGCTCTTGCCTGCTTACAGGCAGAAACTGAAACGGGAACCACCCACCCTCAAGACGTTTCAATGCTGGACGGACCAATCGGATTCTATACTTCAAGAATGTTTTGATCATGTGGACTGGGAGATGTTCCGGGCAGCTTCTGATGACGACATTAAGGGCCTACTCACACTATGCCATCCGTACCGTGCCCAGGCCCGTTTCCCGGATCGTTTGAGAAGTGTGAGTTTCCCGGATCGTTGAGAAGACCCTTAGCTGAATCGGGCTCAAGCACAGTTCACTTGGCTGGCCCTAGCCCGGTTGGAAGAGAAGGGCCTGAGCGCGGTTCACTTGGCCGGTACATTTGTTGTGTGAGTGCAAAACGTGCCAAAGCCCGAAACTGAAAGAGAGACGTGACTTTAAGGGATTGTTTCATATGGATTTATTAATCATTCTTACTGTTCAGTGAACGCAAACTGCCGTAATTTATTAAAGACGCAGACATCTCACTGCACAACAGTTGCGTGCCTTCAGCAAACCTCCTCATTCCTGCAGCACGAGGGCTTTATGATTGTTTATAAGCGCCAAAAGTGGCGGATCTGTTTGGCGAAATATCTGACTGCGTGTAAATGCATCCCTAAGGACTGTTTAGTGAAATATATAATGAATGTCACTGCATATCAAACGACTGAAACGATATAACTAGAGAAATCTCCACTGTGCTGCTGAGTGAGTGAAACTGCTTTTCACTGAACAGCGCAGCAGCGATGACGTAAGCGTGCCGAGGCCCATTTGTGGTGTGAGTGCGAGCCGTCGGGGGAGACGGGAGGGGGGACAAGCGTGGTTTGGCCCAGTTTGAGGCAACTGTACCTAGTGTGAGTACGACCTAAAGTTTACTCAAGACACCGTTACATGCTTTATTAGAAAGTGTATAGAAGACATGGTCCCAACAAAAACTGTCCGTAACTACCCCAACCCAAAACCATGGATTAATGGCGAAGTTCGAACAGCCCTATCAGTGTGAACCTCCGCCTATAAATCCAGAAATGCTGAGGAACAAAAACAAGCAAACTACAACATCAGGTAAACTATCAAAACAGCAAAACATCAATACAGAGGTACAAGGTAGAGGGGAGGAGTATGTGGCAGGGACTTAATTACATCACAGACTTTAAAAGTAACAAACTCGCCACTGTCAACATTTCTGCGTCTCTCCTGGACGAGCTCAACTCGTTGTACACCTGCTTTAAAGCCCAGGACAGCACCCACACACTGTGCGCTCCCGCGGCCGATATCGAAACCGCCAGCACACTCTGTTTCTGTAGCGGACGTTACGAGATATTTGCGTCACAAGAGCATTCGGAAAGCTACGGCCCAGATGGCATCCCTGGACGTGTACTTAAAGCATGCGCACACCAGCTAGCGGGGGTTTTCACGGACATCGTTAACCTCTCGCTCTCTCGGCCTGTGGTTCGCACATGCTTTAAGACAGCTACTATTGTGCCCATACCGACATAATCTAAAACCACATGCTTAAATGACTGGCGTCCAGTTGCTCTGACACCCATCTTCAGCAAGTGCTTTGACAAGCTGATTAAAAAGCTCATCTGCTCTGTACCGCCCGCTCACACTGACCCTCTGCAATTTGCTTACAGGAATAATCGCTCCACTGATGTTGCAATTGCTTTCACCTTGCACACTGCTGTCTCACCTGGAAAACAAAAACACATATGTGAGAATGCTGTTTGTGGACTACAGCTCAGTATTCAACACTACAGTGCCTGCCAAACTAGTGGTGAAGCACCAAGCTCTGGGTCTACACAGCTCTCTGTGCAACTGAATTCTGGACTTCCTGTCAAACAGACGCCAGGTGGTCAGAATGAACAACATATCCTTATCCACACTGATCCTCAACACTGGTGATCCACAGGGCTGTGTTCTCAGTCCACTCCTCTACTCCCTGTACACACATGACTGTACAGCCAAACACATCTCCAACGTCATTGTTAAATTTGCTGATGACACAACAGAGGTGGGCCTAATCACAGATAATAATGAGACGGCCAACAGAGAGGAGGTGCACACTCTGACGCAGTGGTGTGAGGAAAACCACCTCTCACTCAACATCAGCAAATCC